CTGGTCATGTCGCAAAGCAGTTGTTAAGTGAGAAATATACTGCACTTGCTGAGGGAAACCCAAACAGGGATATCATGAGTTTGCTGGGTGCGTTTTCCTTCTGAACTTGTCAAAGCAGACCTAATCTGTACCGCGACAGTGAAAGCCAACGTCTCCGAAAATCCACATACACGACTTAACGATGAAGAGCTGTTTGCTCAGATGAAGTATGTGTAGTATCTCAAACAGAGCCTCACTGTTGATCCCCGTGTTCAAGTTCTATCATGTTTGCGGGCCACGAAACGACTGCCAATACACTTTCCTGGACGCTTCTCGAACTCTCGAGACATCCTGAAGTTCAAGACCGGCTAAGGGCTGAGATTAGGAAGAAAGAAACGGTAATCTTCGCTCACGGTGATACTGAGTTCTCTGCACGGGACTTGGATACTATGCCTTATCTGACCGCCGTGATAAAGGTTAGCTCACGGTCATGTTATGTGATCACGAACTGACCGTTCTATAGGAGGTGCTTCGAATCCACCCCATCGTTTACAATATTTCTAGAGTCGCAACTCAGGACAATGTGCTGCCTTTGAGCAAGCCCGTGGTCTTGACGACAGGAAAAGTGGTTCAAGAGATAGCCATACCCAAGGGGACATCCATCATCGCATCGATTGCCGGCTATAATAGGTGGGAACCACTTCCGACATGTGTTGTAATATTCGCTGATTATACGAAAAAAAAAGGAACAAGGATGTGTGGGGAGAAGATGCACATGTTTTTGATCCCGCGCGCTGGTTCCGAGGAAATATGAGTAAGGACGTGCCAGTTGGCGTCTATGGGAACTTGTGAGATCTATTTCAATATAAAGCTATATACTACACTAACGTCGTTTCCTACCATAGGTTTAGCTTTGGTGGAGGACTTAGGTCTTGTATTGGCTGGCGATTTGCGTATGAATATTGACTATGTCTCTCTTCTCAACGCTAACTATGAAGGTTCATAGTGTCCTCGAACTCCATGCATTTATTATCGAAGTTGTCAATAACTTTGAGTTTTCGTTGACTAAGGAATCTGAGTGCATTCGGAGAGAAGCCTGTTTTATAATGGCGCCGACTGTGGAGGGGGAGGTGGATAAAGGTTCTCAACTGCCGTTAAGAGTAGCGGTAGCCTCTCGTGACTGAATCTTGAAATGTATATATAATCTGCTGCTGAAAGGTTTGTGTGTGTGTTCGTGATCATGCTCTTGATTTTTTTTTTGCGAAGATGTAGAGACACTAGCTCCTGGCGGCCCGTTGCCGGTGGTCATTGTGGAGACAGGGTCAGTGGTAAACAAGAACCACACCAGTTGAATAAGGAATTCGAACGGGTTCGGAGCGTGCGCCTGGTGAACCTAGAGTCGAAGACAAGTTGAGGGGGAAACTTGAGAAAGGAGCACAGCCGCCGTTGAAAGTATCGATAGCCCTACGTCTTCAGTCATCCGCAGAACTCACTCGAGCGCAATGATACCCGCGCCTGTTGACTTAGGAGTGACACAGTTCCCCGTTTTACATTACAAGCCAGCGCTGTGGACCCAGCTGTTCATGAGTCTGTCGTAGCCTGGTAAACCGGCTTTATGAGAAACTCGCAGAACTCCTTACTAACATTCCCTGTGGCATTGAAAGTCCCGTAGAGTTTGAAAATTCGTTATCGTAGCTTCATTCCTGTTTCATTTTATATTTAAGTAGTAATATACTGTTGGAAATCCTTGGTGTTGCGCAGGGTAGACTCCAGGCTGGTAAGGCCAGAAGGTATGAACTCCTTATTCTGCAGCTCCTACAGAGCTCGTATTTATACTCTCCAGGCTTGTATCTAGAATTTACTACAACTTTCTCTTTCTCTCGGGCTTACTCATCAACTCTCGGCATGATGCCGGATTGCCCTTTCTAGAACTTTCCAGCAAAATCCCAACATATACCACAGTATTATGCGTACAAAATTTCTAAGAGATACGATAGAGGGAAACTTTACCATTCAATTGCCGGGACAGCTGCTCAGGCAAGTGAAAATGGTCCTTCTCCAGCTTCTCATGCACTTAAAATTTCCAGGAACGCTCACAGAGGTATATTAAATACAAAGGGAAAAGATGCAGGAATGAAGCTACAGCAGCGAATTTTCAAACTCTACGGGACTTCCAATGCCACAGGGAATGTGTAAAGTCCGTCGGACCAGATGTCCGAGTAGCACGTGATCGTAGCGGAGGTTTATTTAACTCTTAAATAATCCGCCTCTGGATGTTCGCTTCTAAGTAACTCGATTCTGGTATTATTTTCGCGTCCTCAACCATTGTATTTACCTTTCCCTAGATCTATGGTTGAACTGGACTCGAATTATGTTTTTAGGACGAACGCGGATTGGACCAGTGATGGACTCGGCCCAGTATTAAGCAGCCTCCTTACCACAGAGAGCCAGGTCTTCTCAGCGACTATGGGTTATTCGAAGAAGAGGTTCAATGGAATGACAGTAGGATGAAGTTGTATCCCTTGTGCAGCTTTGTCGGATTCTGCGGCCCGATACCAAAAATAATGTTTCTTCGAGCAGGACGATACCACATGCGTCCACTCACGACCCACGCACGACTCCCCCATTCTCATCTTGGGCACCAGATATCGGCCCGAGCCGAGCGATTCACCGAAAGCCGCCAGTTCGACCTTTGCCAAAGCTTGAAATTTCATGACGTGCACGTCCACTGTTCGCTCCCGAAACTTTTTTCCTATTTAGCGCCTTCCGCCCCCCCTCCCTGGAGTCAAAAGTCGACACTTTATTTATTTATTTTTTTGCCGTCGATTCCGCATGGCGTACCTACCCCCTACCCACCACAAGGCTGAATTGATTCACACAGATTTGCCCATTGCCCATTCATCAACCCGGCCGGGATACATACATCCTTTACGATCTCCACGGGAAATCAGGTAGGTAGGCAGGCAGTGTCAAGGAAACCAACCATCGTTGAATGATGATGAGTTCCATCTGTCAGAACTCGGAGATCCTTTCCTTCCTACGCTGGAAGATAGGTAATTGGCCTGTCTCAGCTGGACACTCATTTTTGACATTCCCCCCCCCTTCGTTACCTTGGAGATGACAAACCACCTCACCCCACCCGAAGTTTCTGCGTAATGAGAAAGATGCATCAATTTTGTCCGTACTATTGCAGAATTGAAAGTAATGAGAATGTCCTCTTTTGTGGGAGAAAATAAGTACATAACCGGGGAATGTATGGGTATGGATGCAAGACAGTGGCGATAGCTTGAAATGGTATCAGCAAAGCATGTATGTAAGTAAAAAAAGAGTTCGCGTCTATCAGTAAAGTAATAGAGTATCGCAATGAATGTAGGATATAAAAACAGCGGTGGATGGAGGATGCAATATTCAGTGAATGAGTTTGTTCTAATAAGTGTGCTCGCACAGTAACCGAGTGAGTCCAACATAAACGAGAGCGAAAAGTGAAAGCAATAATAAGCGAATGTTGATGGGACAAGTCCAAAGCTCGTCCATCAATATGAGAACACCATCAACCACGGGTTGAGGACGATCTAAAATAAAAATGGTCATAGTGAGTTTTTTTCCAATCATGATAAATTATGTTATAAATTACTGACCGGGAAAAGGATATGGCAAGCTGTAGCCACACTTATCGGGAAGATAACGGCCCACGCTGAACCGTCGACTCTCCATCCTAGAGGTACTAGCGTCGTGCTGAGAATGATCATCCCAACAATGAGGAGGAAGCTGACGATAAGCGGGAACCAGAACCGCTTAGCGATCTTCGGAATCTCCTTGAAGAAGTTCGATCTCTGGACCTCTTTAATGGTGGCGCTCCACGTAATGTCATACGAGAATAGGTGCGCAAGGAGAGCTTGAGACACCGGGATGGAGAGCCCGCCAAAGAAGAAGAAACTGCACGTAAGATGGTGAACATTTGGGGGGGAAAGATAAAGGAGGCGATAAGGAACGTACAAGAACGGAACCCACATCACATTCTCAATGAATCCCATGACTAGCGGCTTATGGCCTAGCCGATACTCCAGAAGGGTGTAGCCTACATTTCCTGAACCGAAGAATACGACTGTTGTCGCTAGAAAGACCTCAAAGGAATGCATGTAGAAACCATCCACGTGGAACTGGAATCCAAGGAGAATATAGTTGATGATACCGATAGTGACGGAGGCAGCGATACCATAGTAAGAAAACATGTCTGCGCAGCATGGATTAATGAAATCAATCACACTAAAAGAAGCAAGGCAGGACGTACATGCCATAACGGAGATCTTGTAATGGATAGGAGCTTTACACCACATAAATCGGTTGATCTGATGTGCGATCGGACCCTTCCTGAACCATTTGACCAACGGGTTGAAGAGCAGCCTGAAATGAAAACTTTAATCACGAGTATTCCCAATGATCATGCAGCGTCAACTCACTCGTTACAACCATAAGCGTATTTCTGTAAGAAAATATCAGAACCAGAACGGGAAATAGATGGATATTAACGAACCTGCCAACGATTCAATTCGTCGTCCACTGTCAGTGACACACCCTCCTTGAAACCTCCATTTGAATACGTCGCCCACCGGATATCGTAGCCCCTCATCAAAAGCCTCAATGCCATATCAAAGTCTTCCGACACGTTCGATTCACTCCATATCCTCTCCTCTCCTGTCGCCTTCGCCACCTTATCGTCCGGATCAACAAATGCCGCATCCTGTAGCGCCTTCCACCTGAGGAAGGCATTATGCCCTACGAAAGGCGCCACTTCTCCGTTAGCGCAGGCCATGGATATACACCTATTAATCCGCCGTGTAAAGTACGCGATACCGTTCTCGAAATAGTGGTTAGCGACCTGCATGACGTCACTTTCGTGCTGGATAATAGCGACGTTGGGGCAGGCAGCCATTTCCCGCGCGGCATCCCGTAAACAGTCCTGCATGTTATTAATCCAATAAGCTTGAGTGAAAGGTTGATAAGGAAAGCTTACCTCGGGCACAACTGTGTCACTGTCAACTAGTAAAATGATTTCACCGATACGCATTCCCTTTCCGAATGCTGCCCAGGGTCGGAATCGAGACCCGCTCTCTTCGTACACCTGTTCCATCGCCATTTGGAGCGCCATCTCCTCTGTATCTTCATCGTCCTCCAAATCCAACATCCGTGCCATATCATCGCCCTCTTTGCCCATATACTGCATTCCATACGTGCCTCCGTGAGTGCCAAGATGGCCATTGCTACCGAATTCCGACATTGCCTGACTGGTAGCCGCCGACGCTCGACGATAATGCGCCTGTGGCGGTCGGTTCACCATCAAGTGATCCAGATGGTTCTCGACCTTGAGAGATAGGCTCAAGCCGTAGTTCATGTTACTGGCCTTCTTGAAACGACCAGCACGCAAAAAGGGTGCTTCCTTGTGATCCTTGAGACCTTTCTCGACGTCGCCGGTTTCTTCGGTGTAACCATGTCGAGGACGGGCAACCCAAGCGATACCGTGTGTGGCGTAATACGCTATCCGCTCGTCCCGGTCGGCCATGGAAATGAGCCGAAGGCCATCGTCGTTAACGAAGATGCTAGATGTTCCACCTTGGCGCGCATATGTCCGCATGGCTCGTTTTATGGAGTTAAACGAGGGATCAAGTACGGAGTCGAGGTTTTCCTTGTACACGGGCATTTGGATAGTGATATGGGGCAAGTGGTTATCGACGTCATCGTTGGAGAGAGGGGGAATAGCGGAGTAATATTTGCTATTCGCGTGGTATTGGGCTATAGGCCCGATCCTTCAGGGCGTTCAACCAATGTCAGAGCACAGAAAATACAAGACTTACGCCATTGAGACATTTTGGACAATCTGGAGGGTGAAGAACAACGAGACACAGAAGAGAAGCGGGAGAATGACCAACAAGGCAAACCGCATATAGGTGGAATCGAGAATCGATTCCGTCAAGAGGGTCTTGATACCATTCCCAACGAAGATTAGGGCCAATGCTGCAGCGAGACCATTGTAAAACGGAGCATAAAGCTTCGTTTCTCGAATCTCTGCTTTTGGCACAGACATACCGACCTTTTTCCCATACCAATTCCGCTTGACCTTGCTCTTGAGAATGGGAGAAGGTTCGACGAGACTATGATTAGAAAGAGATGGGGTAGTACTACCATGACCGGTGACTGAAATCGATCCCTCTCGAGGAAGAATTGAACCGGCGGATATAGAAGATGGGGCTCCAGGACGAGACCGCCACAAGAGCTTTATGAGTCGGTCTTCAAAGTCCTGGCAAGTGGGTATGATAGTGTCGAGGGAAGAGGTGAAAACAACAAGCACACGCTCGTCCCGAATGAAGGCGGCGCACTGTTCCTTGTCGGCCTGGGGAAGCTGGAGCATCGTGTCGATGATCTGGATGCGTGTATTACTGTCGACATAGATGCTCGTCGCGTCGGGAGGTACATCTGCGAGTGCAGCGTGAACGGCGGCGCTGCGAACCTTTACTGCAACGACGGGGTTGAGTTTCTGGACAGCGGCCTCGAAAGGCTCCAGGTAGATGTTTTCATAAGGAAAAACGCGGAACTCTGGCGGCGAGTCGTTCACGCGTAGGGCGACACCTGAGGTAAGGCTCTCTTCCTGGGGACGAAACCATGCGTCGCCCTGCGTTTGCTTGAAGATGTGGTGAAGGAGAGCGTCCCACCTGTCGTAGTCCATGGCCAAGAAAGACGGTGGGAGAGAATCCTACGACCGAAAGCATCGTGGTGATAAGAAAAATGCAGTTCCGATCAGGTGGCTGGGGTCCTTGGCAACGTCATAGATGACCAAATCCCCTAGATTTCCAAAAACAAAAAATTGAGCGGGAATACCCACACTCCGTTTCACAACAGCAGGGTCAAAGCTGACGTCCCAAGGCTTATCCTCGAACAGGGTATCGGTATTGAAAATAAGATTGGTGATAGGCCCTCGGACAGCCTGGGAGAATCGCGACTGTCAGCGGAGTAAGGACGCAACTTCGTCTTCGAACTTCGAACAAGCTTCTGATGACAGCAACAGAGGCTACTCAGCAGACGGTGAACCGCTGGGGTTACCGACTGGTCGGCTTGATAGCCTCGGCCCTGCAAAGAGCAAGTAAATTCGTCGCAATTTCGCCGCCCTTTTTTTCCGGCGTTTTTTGATCGTGATTTACTGAACTGCGATCTGAACCTGTAACCGGCCTCACGGTCAACATCAGTTTTGCAGTGCATGATGGATGCTGAATACGTACTCCTCTGGGAAGTTTGCAAACTAACCATGACAGGCAGCTGCCGCCATGGCCATGGTGCCGTTCGTCACTCTTCCAAGCTTCATGAAAAAAGGCGTTCTATTGTTCGCGAGGAGTTCTTATCGCCTGCGAAGATCGTAGAAAGGATCACATCGGAACCGGAAGTTGACTAAGAATCCTGAGGACCAGCCGTCGGCCATGGATAGACTTTTACAGCATCAGCCTCGACAATAGCGAAAAGGGAAAAGAAACGGTCGCCTCAACGCCGCGTTATGACAGATAAGCGTCCGGCGATACGTGTATCGCAAAGTCGTGAGAGAATTTTGACCTGGATGGGGGAACAGAACCGACTCGAATGTCAAGTACGGAATGCGTATCCATGCTGCATTGCTGTTTGACCGAGGGCTGTGCTCTGACAGGTTTTCAAGCCTCACTGACAGTGTAATCATACGGGCATTAACAGGAAAGTTAACTTCTGCGCAGATATATTAGTGATGGTGGTTAGACGCTCAAGAAGGAAAGCAGCAGCGCTGCACCACCTTTTCCATTCCCATCACGGCGACGTACGGATTTTCGAAATCAGATGCTATGAAATGATAATGAAAGGTTGGCAAAGGCGCAGCATGCCGTTGCCTTCGTGGCGACAGGAACCCGACGTGTCCGAAACTCAGTATATGCGGCATCCAGAAAGTGGAATGATGTGGCGGGAAGGAAAGCGCAAATTGGAACTGCGCACGGCATTGGCACGCGACGCGGACGGCACATGATATTCACGTGAAACTTTTTTCACACGTTGGGATGTGTTATGTACCCTTGTGGGTCCCCCGCCAATCTGTCTGGCTTGTTAACTGGTCTTCGTGTTCCTGATCGAGTCTTAACTCCTCCGAGCAAAATAATCCTGAATATGGCAAGTTTTAAGCATGTATTTGAGACCCTCAGCAAGCTCGGATGGTTCCGAAAGGTCCCAGTCGAATGGCATCATGTCAATTTGATGTAGACTTACATAGAAACATAAAAAACATATCCAGTACATGCGGCAGAGCTATCAAAATAACAAACATAAACCCCCATTTTTGACCACTGGCTCGAGCCATTTACGGCGCGCACATCTTTACCAGCCAGGTATCAGGACAAGAGTTCTTATCGCCCGGCAGCAGCCTCAATTTCTCAAATGCCTCGTCCCGGTCAAGGCCCTTCAGACAGGTATTCTCTCCCAACCAGTCTATCCTCTTCATCTTCTTGCTAGATCCCTGCCCCTCGGCTTCGATCCTCTTCTTCGCAGCCTTCTCGACAGTCGCGCGGAGCTTCTTGTCACAGACGATAATCCCCCACTCCGAATCCATGATCTCCTCCTGCATCGCCGCATACAGCGCATCCCATATAAACTCAACAGTAATCGGCAGCGTCGACTTGATATCAACCGTCCACGGGAAATCCTGCGATACGAGGCGCATAATCATCACGGGCGCTATCGTAGCCGAGACCTGCGCATTTGTATAATAGGCATTCGCCAAGATCGTCGACCGCGCTTTCTTCCTCAGATCATACCGAAGGAGCGTGGTATCCACAGCAAGAATGGGGTGCAGAGATGCATGCTTGCTCCGGCCTTTCCACGGCGCTGGGGAGAAGGGGTGGCGGTAAGTGTGAATTCGAAGAAGCGAAGCAAGCCACGCACTAGGTCCCAAATCCTGGGCGTACGCACTGGCCCCGGCCCATGGTGTTTGCTGGAACGGCGCCGCCACGCCACCGTAGACGTTGTTCCCAGCGGGGTAGTTGTTGAATCCTGGCCAGGCCCAGTTGTTCATGACCGTTGGTTGGTACGAATGCCCTTGTCAAGAGAGAGACGAGTCTTTGATAAATGCTTGTTCAAGTTGGCGAGCAGAGGCAATGCGTGATCAGGGCCCTTATCGATGCATTGTGTGACAATGCTGTGATTCAAATTCCGCGGGCGCTTCCAGTGTGACCCTGCGTATCGCTTGAGAAGTATTCTCTTTTCATAGCAGCCGTGAAGCGCGTGCCATAGTAGATTGTGCGCATAGGCTCCACCGGTACAAGTAGGGTCAGCTTTTCGAGCGCTGCGTAGGCATTGCAATTGATATATGCGGCGCCCATGATACTGGGAGAATGAGTCACTTTGACTCACTCAAAGATCAATGATACATAACGCGAAAAAATTTTCCAAACGTTTACGAAAACACAGCTCGGAGTATTTATGTTCGGGACCTCTAATAAATGCCAATTACAAGTTCGCATAAGTAACTCTCTGGAAAAGTGTAGATCCTACTTTTCCGGGTGCCTAGGTTGGCGCTATGGCAACACCAGAACTCTTATTTGACCAAGCTGGAGCTTTGGCGTCGCCACACGTTCGGCAGTAGTGGACCCCAAGAGCACTCTGACTCTTGCGGACCCGAGTCAGATTATGTTGAGATGTTGGTTCCAAAAGATTGCTCGAAGATGGAAGTGTATGATGCTGAGAGAGTAAAGTAACACCGGATAAGCCAGTCGGTGCCTCTCCCATCCAGCTACATTATATTCTCAGGCGGAAAGAAAGAGGTTTTGTTCTAGTGCACTGCCATCAGGATCGTTGCGGGAGAACCACCGGTATGATTGTGTCGGGAATGAGGTTCGTAAGGCGGCGTCCCAGGACCGTTTCCGATGATGAGACAAGCTCATAGAAGAGAGAATTCCGCTGACAAGGATGATATATATGACCCACATTCACAGTCGAAGACGGCCATACGTCCCTTAGGTCTCCTGTACCTGGTTGACGGTCACACTGAATAGTTTGTCCAAGTCAGCCTAACCGAATGAGAACAAGAAAAACGCTCACGACAACCTCGCGGGCCGATATTCCGAAATGCGAATGAAGAAAGCTCCACTTTGCACTCTTCAAGATGAGAAGCAACCACATGTGCCCCCCGAGGATGGATCTCATGATATATTGGTTAGGCGCGCTGATGACCAGTTGACTCAACAATGGCATGTCCAGCCTGTTCAAGGAGTGAAGAGAGATTTCCAAAGTGATTGACCGGCATGGAGAGCTTCAAAGAACGAAGTCAATGGAGCAGTATCGCTCGAAGAGACTGGGTGGGGGATAAGGGTGATATCTCCAAGATGTCTTCAAACACCGTGTAAGAATGAAAGCGCTCCTCAAGACGATTGGTAATCGTAATCTTCGAATACGTGAAGGTGCGCCAAGGAACGGAGAGCTGTCCAATGCGCGCGTAGACACCCTAAAGCTCCAAATACCGTAGGGTTCTGGCGTCGCGAAACTTATTCTCAAGGGGACCCAAGGGATGGCGCACAAGCAAATCATTGGAGAGGATCGATAGTCTACAGTGAAGGGAGCGCACGAGGGATAGAGTTATGAGAAACACTGAGATACATCATTTGAATCCTGGAAGGGAAAGGGGATTACATGCACAGTGAAAAGGTGTGATAGCTTTACGTTTAGGAGTGAATGGAAGTGGGCATACGCTATCATTCGGACACGACACGGTTCCCAGGCCGATCCCATAGGCTTCGTACAAGTATCACTATTCCCCATGGTTAATTAAAGGCAAATTGACCTTTAATACTACTTTCTACCGCATCGTGAACGGGCTGGCACATTCCACTTGCGAGAGCTTGCGTCTTGAGAATATCGAATTCATCCCAATCCAGCAGCTCTCATCAATATCATAATACTGGTTTAAGACAAAGTGCGATTGATTCATCATGTATCATCCCCTGACTATCACAAGACCATCCATCGGTCGCTGACGCCTGCAACGTCAGAGGTTAACTAAAAGCAGAGGATTCATATGACAACTAACACAAAGTGGCTGTACATCACTCCACTTTAGAATCTACTCGACATAAACATGGTACACTACGTCCGATCGGTTAGGTTACCCATCAGATGGGTCGTTGAAATACAAAGTATGATAACTTGTGAGATTCGTCCGTAGGAGAAATATAAAACAATGAGAAAAAGGAAAATGATAATGAGTGTGAGTGAGAGGGCCTATTTCGCTTCCTCCTCAGTTGGCTTCGCATCAGTGTGCTTCGCATCAGTGTCAACAATAGGAGTCTTTTCGTCAACGTAGATGTAGGTGGGGGGTGCAACGACAATCTCTTCGGCATTGCCGTGCGGGAGGTGAGAATACTCATGGGTCTCGCGCTCACCCCTGAAGGCACGATAAGAGACAAGGGTAAGGACCCAGATCATGCGGAGGAGGACGCCAATCCCACATCCTGTAAGACATTTAGCGAAGAAAACCTTAGGAGAAAAGAAAGGAACGTACCAAGGACAAAGGCGACAGCCCTGCCCTCCCAGGGACCGAGCATCATCAGGGCGTAATGAAGGCGGGATGTGAAAGACTCTTGAGAGTTCAGGCGCACCCTATGATGGCCGTGGCGGCCTGGGGTCATAGGAACGGCATTGACAATCCTGACACGGTCACCACCCCTCGTCTTGCCCTCATCGCCGGTCTCGTTGAGCTGAACGACGGTGGCTGGACCACCGATGAAAGGCATAATCCTGATCACGCCACCGTGAACGGTAGTATCGGCTTTGGGTTCAGATTCGATGAGGGGCAAGCCAAGAGCCTGGCGGAAAGAGTTGGAGAGCTTGACGGCCTTATCCCGGAAGCGTCTTCCTCCTCCGCAGGGTCGCCCGTGGATTGCTGCGGGCATGCTAGTCGGCACAACAGCGTCTTCGTGTGAGACACCTGCATGACCAAAGCGAAGAGCGGGAGATGTGTTTCCGTCACTGCTGCCAGTGAGCATCACGACGCGCATCGGGACAGCGCTGACTAGATTCTGCTGTTCAGTCTTTGATTATACACACAGCTGAAACGAACGGAAACACACCGAGACTGGCACCAGCCACAAGACAGGATATAACTGAAAGTTTCATTGGGATCTATATCAGGATTCCTGTGAATTTGTTGGAATGAGTTGCGACCGCCTTGAAGGACGTACAGGAAAATGTATTTGAGTCAGAAGGTAGGTTTCGAGGTGAAGCAACGTCTGCGCAGCGCAGCAAGTGCCGTACAGCGTTTAAACTCCGCTCGGCAATGCGCGGGTTACTAAGCGCGTCGCTGCGGTCGCATGCTTGAGCGCTTAAGGCTTGTCAGCAACCGTTATCCTTGCTACCAGTGTCGTCAGGATCAGAGCTCGAGGTTGCTGCGCCGCCATTTATGCAACACAATAGCCATATTTTCCCCCCAAGTAACAGTGTAACACTCAAAACCTGCAGGTGCTTGCTTCACTTTGTATATCCGCCCGGGTGCTATTACCCGCCATTCACAAATCGACGACGCACATTGAAACTTACTCCGGGCCATCAACGTTCTATTTCGATGCTATGAATTCATCATGTTGATCTTTTCCCAAGCTTCCGCAATTCAATTAATTCTTCGAATCATGATGATGCCTTTCCAGATATCTGTCGAATCATGAAGGAATAAATCCTCTATGCGCTTGTTAAAAGGACTGGTCCTACTACCAGGTACCCGCGTTTGTTACGCCAATTTCGAATCGGATATCAGTTTGCCGCGCTAGCGTATCCCAAGTCTTTAGTGGACTCGGGCCCGCATCATTGACATCAACTCTCAGATCACGTTCTTTCTTATCGATATCTTTCACAGCACCCTCCCCACGAGGGCCTTCCCCTACAGTTATCTCCTTTTTGGTTGTAGAAAATCCCGCTGATAATACACAGTACCTAGGTTCACCACAACTGGGTGCTCCAGTTTGATGGTGCTTTCATCATCAACCGTGCCGTCTCCTGAATTCTTCCGCGATGAGTCGTACGATCCGAGAACCACAAAAGGACGCTGCTGATGATATGGTATGTCCCTTAGCCTAAGACCAGTTTCCGTGACCGTCTTTTACTGGATGATCACGTTCCCAATTTGGAGTCAATCATTGAGACAGCTCTGTCGTTGAACTGCGGTGATTGTCAAGATGGCACGGACGGCCGGGGATCTAACAGGAGTTGGAAGATGAGGGTCGAGCTTCTCTCTCTCGCTTCCATTATGAGAAGCGCGCTTCATACTGATCTCGCCTACGAAGCGAGAAGGCCTACGATCACAAGTTTGCCTCCGAGTCCCCCATAAGGCTGTAGGGGATCATGATACGGAAAGACAAACTACTCGTTCTTGTGAGCCTAGGGAGGCGTTCATAAAATCTCTTCTTCTCAGACTCTCTTTCTCAGGTAACTGGCGTTTCCGGATTTTTAGCATCCCACGGGCCACCGTAACGTCGTTGCTTTTATCGGAAGGCTACTCAGCCCAGGGGGTGTCTATTTACAATCATGATGCCTTTACTGAACAATCATTCCTCAGGACTGCACGTTCTGGCAGACTACAGTCTATTCAATATGCCGTGATTTCAAGCGACCCTATTCGTGAACATAGACGACAGGAGGACCTCTGAAGCTTAGGAGCGCGCTCGAGCCCATTTATATAATCGTCCATACTAATTTTTTTTAACCAGTATCCATATCATTCATGTCGCTTCGCCACGGGTTGGAAAGGCTTCCCCTTCAGGCAATTTAGGGTAGCCTTCCACTGACGCCCCTTTGCTCGAAGCGGCACACTCAAGATATAGCCCGTTCTTTTCCTTCGTTTTCGTCATCATTCCGGTAACCGCATTTCAACAATGGGCCAAGTTCGAATTCGGACTTGTAATAGTAACTCATGCCATCCAACTTGACTTCTCTGCTCACAGCCCAGCACAGACATTCCCGTCCCGCATTTTACAGGCTTGAAATAATAATAATTATTTTTTAGATCTAAGCCGCTGTACGGCATTCTGTGTAAGAATTCATGTACGAAGAAGATGGAAGCTAATAATACAACGTTAGTGAACTACAAGATATGGTAAGTTACAAGTACAGAGAAAATCATTACAATATTCACCCCAACTGTGGCAATCGACAGATGAGGAGAGCAACCGACGGCTATAGGTACATAAATGATACGGTAGGCAAGATATTTTAAATGGATACAAATACAACTAAGATCAAAGAAAAACGGTACCATATGCGTATGTCAGAAGTGTCACAGCGACGCGTTTGACTGTGCATCACTCAAAACTCCAACATTCTGAGCCTGTAAAGGTACATAGTTCTGATGCTTAGACGTTTACTTGAACATGGTTTGAACGGTAAGAGACGCCTTTGTTGGAGTTAACGAGGTAGGAGCGCGGACGTGGTGAACGAGGAAAAAGTTTTCGGAAGAGAACGGACGCTAGGATAAGACGTCATAACGTTAATCTCAGCGTTATGGTTGAAAGCTTCTGTTATTTACCTAGGATAAGACGTCGTAACGTTACTACATAGGTAATAAGTAAATACGGTCAAGGATAGATATGTATAGAAGGTACTCACATCTCAGCGTTATGGTTGAAAGCTGAGATGTGCAGAACGGTGTGACATGCCGAAAAAGGAAGGAATATCAAATAGGTAAGCGAACGTATGCGTATCGTACTATTTCTACGTCTAACAGCCTTACTGCTGTCAGCAAACTTTCCGGTCAGTTCAGCTGCTGCGTATGGTTGAATGCGGACTAACAACCCTCAACTTGGAGAGACTGAGCTGTGAGTCGAGATGAAGCCTCGTCTCCATCCTTTGGAGCTAAAAAGAAGCGCGCTTTTCTGAAAACCGGGCTCTCAGTGGAAAGCCATGGCAACTAGTGAATACTTGGCGGCGCACGGAAGATTTATATCATAACTACACAGTACATAGCAGATAAATTATTGATAGCAAGTAGAAAGCATGTGGATACATGCAATCAAAGCAAAGAAAGTTTTCCGTAAATACCGGTGAATGCAATCTCATTCCATCCTATCAAACTGTGCCGTTTTACTCCAGCTCTTTTGTTGGAATTCATCCCCTTCTAACGCCTTCAGGACGGCATCCTTCAGCTTCGTATCCCCATATTCTCGCAGACGCAGAAGGACCGTGACAAAATGGTAGACCTCGATGGGTGAGGAGATATTGAATGTTTGAACATTGCGCTCAACGATGTAGACGGTCTAAGATGAGATAAGCATAGGCATAACAGTACAAGAAAAGAACTTACCTCGGAGTCGTTCGAACACCAAGCCATAAGCACGGCTCCTTCAACGCCATCCGTCGCCAATGCGAAAACAGCTTGTTTGGTCACTCCCAGACTTGCGAGATACCTGACAGACGCTTCCGCGTACATTTTTGCTTGCACGACGGCCTTCGCGTACGTCTGGGTAGGCTTCTTGTATTCGGCAACGAAAACGGACAAGAGAAGTTTAGTGTGCAGTTCCTTAGTGTTCCTTATCACCCCAGTTGGGAATGTCATCTTGGGTGCTAATTTCGTCACTGAGCACGTCACCGAAAATGGCTGTAGCAAGTTTTCTTTTCTGGTCGTCCGGGTACCGTTTGATCCTTGCTTGTCGTCGGTCCGCCTCCCTACTTCCTCGTCAGGTACCTGAAGATGCCCTTCCTGCTCTTCCGCAATTGCGAGTAGCTCGCTTTGCGTCGTTGCAGACTTCACTCGCCTGGAGTTACGAGCAGGCTGGGATCTCTTAGCCTTCGGCTTCTCCGACACTGCATTTTCATCTGGCTCAGGTATGTTATCTGCGCTGAGAGTCTTTGCAGCGTTGACAGTCTCGCGAGTCTCTGTGATACGAAGGAGAGGCTCCTCGATAAGTTGCAGGCGCTCCAACGGCAACGTCAGGATGGCGTCAACGATCCCAAGCTCTGGCTCATCTCCGGCACGCTTCAGTATGGCTTTCCTGGCTGCCTCTGCATTATCAAAAAGCGCAGAAACAGCATCTGATTGCACGACTGCGACCGAAAGAAAATGTCCTGTCTGCCGAATGAGCTTCGGCGGGAAGGAAGATTTGAATTCGGGATCTTCCAGTTGTAAAACGTGTTGATAACTGATATCGCGTGATCGACGAGCGACACCCTGAAATTCTGCAGCAGCAGAAGTCGGGGAAATGTTCATTACATCTGCTGCGACATTCCGCGAGAGCGACATTGCTCTTTCGAGACTATGACTAGGATAAGTATACAACACAGGTTCGCCGACAAACATAACTCACACCACTCTTCCAGAAGCGAGCTCATGGACATTCACGAAGCCGAGGTTCAGAAGAATATCCCATTCATGACGAGCTTCAGCTTTGTGAGGTGATTTACCGGCGAGCTCCTTGGAGTATCCGCCGACGGATGCCCAAAGAAGAGACGAAAAGCAACCCGACATGACCTCCCAGAAGTGCCGTGGAAGTTCCGAAGTGTTTTTACCACCGGAGCATGCATCAACTTGAAAGAGAAAGCGGTCACGAACTTCTTCGATTCGTTTGTCAACGACAGGTGGTTCATTCTAGAAATAATAAGCGTGAAGGGACAGATTGCATTGATCAGACATGCTTACCTGCTCGATAGGAGGTTTCATATACTTGGTCATTTCCTCATAGAATTCAAGCATCTCGTTAATCTCGTCAGCAGCTTCGACACTTCCATGAGCATTTGTGCGCAATGGTATATTGCTCAAACTGATGATTTTGCGGTCGTGTGCATAGCTTGAGAAAGAAAGCTTTGCGGCAGGGAATATGCCGGCTAAGGCCTTCGCACCTAACCTGGTGGGAACGGGATATCAGAACGGGTAGTTTAAAGCGACCAAAAGTAGAAGGCCTACGCTGAACAAGACAAGGCATCTGCGCTCTTCGAACGCTTACCAGTCTTTCCCTTATTAGAAGAACCACCATCCGTCTTTGTTCTGAAAAAGAGTTAGAAGGAAATCGAGAGACGCATGAGCAGTCTAGATTCACTGTTGTCGTCCACGTTTTTCAGCCTGAGCTGACGCTCTATCTGACGGAGTCCTCGAACCCGAAGCTCCGAGGGAGGGCTCCCGGGGATATGTTAGGTCGATATCGGGCACAAATGGTGTAGGATCTGCTGGAGGAGGTTCTACTTTGCTGTCTGCAAACATCGAGCACCTCGGACGACGTGCAGACCTAGCTTTCGAAGAGGACTGCGTAGTCCGCTTTTCAGAGTCAGCCATGCTGAATGAACAGCAGTCAGTCGACGAAGGATCGGAAGGTGCTGTGTGGTCGGTGTCACTGTTAAATAGATGAGGGACAACGTTAAGGCCAAATGAAGTGACTCCCACCATTTTTCCACCGTATTTAGCCAACAAACAATCCTTTGTTCCCATTGTTCTTCTTCGGAACCGGAATCGTCATCATCGACGGTATCTGATCTCCACGGAAGTCGTTTGAACGTCGGAGTTCCGCATTGGGCAATGATTCCCTCGACATGCGCCCGGAGGCCGATGATAAATTGTGCAAATTTGAGAGCACTGACGGCGTCAGTGAGGTCGTACACTCCTAATGAGGGGTCTATACACGTCCCATCTGCATGCGCAAAACAAACTGTGGGCTATTCAAATTTATTCAGTGGCGGTAATGGGTCAGAAGAAGCCGCCGCACCAGAACATCAGTGTTGGGATTTTGCTGGAAAGTTCTAGAAAGGGCAATCCGGCATCATGCCGAGAGTTGATGAGTAAGCCCGAGAGAAAGAGAAAGTTGTAGTAAATTCTAGATACAAGCCTGGAGAGTATAAATACAAGCTCTGTAGGAGCTGCAGAATAATGAGTTCATACCTTCTGGCCTTACCAGCCTGGAGTCTACCCTGTGCAACACCGAGGATTTCCAACAATCAGGGTCCACACATACATTGTCAAGCCAACTGAAGACCACCCGGCCTACCAACTGTTGAAGTAGCACACCCTCCATGTCGCTCCTACCTTACATAATCATAGCTACCAATACTGGAGATTGAAAGTCAACACTTACTAGCTTTTGACCTTCAACTTCAGACCTGGCTTTCCCCACTGTGCTATGCAACCTGCTCCCAACAGGTTATGGGCCCTGTGCCTTACTAAGCCAAGCAAACTTTTCATTCCCTCTTGCAAACCATTCACTAGACATTGAAGTCTTGCTCACTTTCCTAAAGGACATCACTATCCATTTGGAAGTTGTATCCATCCATCACAGGCCTCCACACACTCTCTAACCCCAATGGTCTCTTTTTTTCTTACACCATGATGAATGACTCAGATGTTGTTGACACCACCAAATATAGCTTTCCCAACCTCCATACTGGCAACTAGAACCACTTTGCACCTTTGTTTGAGGCCTACATGTGTATCAAGGGGCCATTCAGCCACTTCAATGACACTGAGGAGCCACCAGAGCAAGTCAACCCTAGTGAACCCACAAAGCTCAAAAAAAAGGAGATGAAAGCTTATCTTCAAGCTCGTTCATCTGCAGCAGGATATCTCTGGCTTTGCATTGATGAATCATAGCATGCTCACATCAGTCTCCTCATAGGTAAGCCCACAGCTATGTGGTCAAAACTGAAAGACATTCACCAACAGCAAAAACCAGGCACTCATTTCAACACCTATGATGCCTTATTCAGCATTTGGAAGAATGATGGAGAGTCTCTCTCTACTCTTATTGGACATGTCTCATAAGCTATACAAGACATCAAAGCACTCCACTCTGAAAAGTTCATCATCAATCAACTTGATGAAGAGCTTCAATCTATGACTCTTATCTGTGCCCTTCCATCTGATTATGACAATTTTGTGTCATCAGTCCTTCTCCTCTATTCCCTCAGTCTCGACAAACTCATTGCTGCCTTCCACACTAAAGAAATACAGTGCTGCTCTCATGACACCACTTCAGCAACATTATTTAAAGTGAGCACTGTCAGAGTCCAAGCCACTTATGTGGCATCATCTGGTACCACCTGCAGCTGGTGCACCAACTCTGAATATACTGAGGAGGAGTGTTTCAGCAAAAAGAAAGCCAAGGAGCAAGCTATACAGTATGTCCAGGAATGTCAGAATACAAAATCAGGCAAGAAGATGAGAGAGAAAAAGACAGAGAAGTCAAACATTGTGAAAGAGACTGCCAGCCAAGTGAGTATTGATCTCTTATCCTCAGCATCATCTAACTGGAATATAGACACAGACACTCCATCTCATATGAGCTCTCATCAAGACTGGTTTCATGTCTGGACACCACATGTAGTTCTGATTCAGTTAGCAGACAATTCAATCATCTATTCAGCAGATATGGAGACAGTCATATTTGAGCCTAAAGAGAAGAATGGAGAGGTCTGTGAGGCTGTTGAGTTCCAGGATGTACTGTATATATCTGATCTTCACAATAACTTGCTTTCACCCTTCTATCTTACATATTATAAGAGATATGAGATTAATATAGCTGAATCATCTATCCAGTTCTTTCAAGACAAAGTGCTTCATTTCTCAGCCACTGTCAATGATAACAACATTAGATATCTTAACAGTACCACTCACACTATAAGGCTGGTAACCTCAAATACTGCAAGCCCTGTCCACTCAATCTGACTCTATGGCATTGACAAACCTGTCACAGAAGTATAAACATTGTCTGGAATATATACAAGAATCAGCTTGTCTTAAATATGAAAATGAACAATATGCAATCCAATCCTGATCCAATTTATAAACTCTGTCTTATGAGCAAGCACAGGTGATATAATATCCCTTGAGAGACCTCATTTCTTCCAACATGTCCTTTTGCAATTGTATTCTCTGATCTTAAAGAACCTATGCCAGTTGCTACACCAGAAGATTATTGCTACTGAATCACTTTTATATATAGTGCTCTGCATTTTTGGGCTGTTGCCTTGCTAAAGCACAAGAGTGATGCTCTGGCTGAATTTAAATGCTACAAAGCCTATGCTGAAAATTTTCATGGTCTGAAGATCTTAGAAGAGTAAGATGATGATGGAGGAGAGTATATGAGTCATGAATTTGATCAGTTATATATAGAAGAAGGGATATTAAGATGCCATACTGAGTCTGATGAGCCTCATCAAAATGAAATTGCAGAACATGCAAATTGCAATATTGCTGAAGAGACTATTACTATGCTTTATGAAGCCCATCTTTCTCTCTTTTTCTAGAGACTAGCAGTGCTTGCATTTGTATATATGTATAACTATTACCCTACAGCACCACTTTCTAAAACAACATTATATTGGCTGGCATAAGAAGAAATCTGATGTCTCTAACTTGCATGTCTTTAGCTGCTTAGCCTATATCCATATTAAAAAGAACAAGCAACAAGGCCTTCAGCCATGCATTACCAAATGCATATTTGTTGGATATCTATCAGATACAAAGAGATGGAAGTGCTGGAACCCTGTAACTAAGAAGTTCATCATATCAAGCTATGTCATTTTTGATGAGCAGGTGTTTCTAGGAAATACAAAAACTCTTATCAACCCCTTCAGTGACCTATTTTCTTCACTCTCAAATCTGTCAGATTCTCCTATACTGCCTGATTGAGAGAGAGACCTTAACAATGATGATCTTTTATCTCCAAAAAATCCTCCAGCACCAAATCTTTTATCTCCTCTAAGCTCATCACCTCTAGTATCACCTCTTCCTCATAATGTTATAATCCCTCTTGGCTCACCATTTGATGAATCTCTCTCAGACCTAACTCCATCACCATCACCACCATCTCCAACAGACTTAAGCAAACATGAATACAGAATACATGATGATGGCTTATATGATCCTGGCTCTGGTTACAGTCATGAAATATGCTGAAATGTCAACAATGATGATTATGTGAGAGATACAGAGGATCAAGCACACACAGCCTTTATGGAAGATAAAACTATTCTTGAAGGCATAGCTTTCTCCAGCCAGACAATAGAGCATTTGACAATGAAGGAAGGACTGGAAGTTGCATTTAAAAGCATGATAGAAGCAGCTTCCAAGGTATTCACATATGATGATGAACTTAAATCCTTCCATGAAGCTATAAAACATCCTCCAGAGGAAGCTGCAAGTTGGTATGAAGCCACTATGCAAGAGATACAGGCACTCATTGAAAATGATGTCTTTGAATTGGTGAAATGCCCTTCAAATCGAAAGGCAGTTGAGAGTCACTGGGTATTCAAAGTGAAATGCAATGCTGATGGATCAATTGAGTGCTATAAAGCAAGGCTTGTTGCAAAGGGATACTCACAATGACCTGGCTTTGATTACACTGAAACCTTCTCTCTAATGCCAAAATAGGCTGCTCTATGGGCTGTTCTAGCACTTGGTGTCCTTGAGGATTTAGAGCTATGGAATGTTGATATCTCATCAGCATTTCTCAATGGTGAGCTGACAGAAAAGGTGTATATGGAGCAGCCAGAAGGTTTTGAGGAGAAAGGAAAGGAATGAGTCTGATACCTCTTCAAGTCTCTATATAGACTAAAGCAAGCTGAGAGAGAATGGCACAAAAAGCTATATGCAACATTGACCAATGCCATGGGTTTTGAATAGGTAAAATGTAAGCATAGTGTCTGAGTTTATAAGAGAGACAGTAAGCATATCATCATTCCAGTCTTTGTTGATGATATGACTATTGCCACAAAGACACCAGATGGTGTTGCAAAGGTCATCAATGATCTCAAGAAGCACTTCAAGCTTTGAGACTTGGGTCCAACATCTTACCTCCTTAGTGTCAAGATCAAGCATGACTGAGCCAACTGAACATACACACTCTTTCAGTGCCAATACATCTTAGATATTCTGCAATATGCAGGAATGGCTGACTGCAACTCTGTTCTGACACCTTTGGATCCAAATATAAAACTTACAGCAGATCAGTCTCCCAAAACACTAGAGAAATATAAGACAATATAGACAATCTCATACCTGAATGTGCTTGGCTCTGTAGTCTATCTCACTATTGCTACCAGGCCTGATATTGCTTATCCTGTGAGTGTACTCTCACAATTCAGCAAAAACCCTGGCACAGCCTACTGGGAAGCTCTCAAATGGCTATTATGCTATCTGAAGGGCACAGTTGACTATTCCATTGTCTACTCTCTCAACTCTGAGTCAGATTCATCAGTCTTTGACTTCAAGACTTATTGCAGTGCAGATCATGAGGGTGACAAAGATAGTGGGCATTCCACAAGTGGCTTCATTATTAAAATGGGTATTAGAGCCATTAGCTGGATGAGTCATCTTCAGACATTTGTGACACTCTCAACAATAGAGACAGAATATGTTTCAGCTGTATCTGCTGGTCAAGAAATCCTTTGGCTTCACAACTTGTTCACAGAGTTTGGCTATTCACTCACCGATACCTCAGTCCTCTATATCGACAACAAGTCTGCTTTGTTAGTTGCTTGAAACTCTGAACATCATGGCAGGTTAAACACCTTGAGCTTTAATTCTATTGGCTGTGTGATAAAGTTGAAAAGAGGCACATCCATGTAGTCCACTTATGAACTGAAAATATGCCAGCCAATGCTTTAACAAAGAGATTAGGAAGAGAGAAGCTCAGACACATGATTACCTTACTCAG